TCCGCCTACAGGAGGGAGGTGGACCGGCTGGTGTCCTGGTGCAGTGGTAACAACCTGGAGCTGAACGCCCAGAAGACAGTGGAGATGATTGTGGACTTCAGGAAGAGCACTGTCCCCCCGCCCCCACCCTCCGTGATGGACTCCCCCATCACCTCTGTGGAGTCCTTCCGTTTCCTGGGCACCACCATCACCCAGGACCTCAAGTGGGAGCCGACCATCAGCTCCCTCATCAAGAAGGCCCAGCAGAGGATGTACTTCCTGCGGCAGCTCAGGAAAGCCAAGCTGCCTGCACAGATGTTGGTACAGTTCTACACGGCCATCATCAAGTCCATCCTCACCTCCTCCATCACCGTGTGGTTCGCTGGAGCCACAGTCAGGGACAAACAGAGACTACAGCGCATAGTGCGCTCTGCAGAGGATGTGATCGGCCGCAGCCTTCCATCGCTGCAGGACCTGTACGTCGCCCGAGCTCGAGGCCGGGCTGGTCGTATCACAGCCGACCCCTCTCACCCGCACATGGACTATTCCAACCACTCCCCTCAGGCATGAGGCTGCGGTCCATCAGGACTAGAACCTCCCGCCACAAGAACAGTTTCTTCCCCTCTGCTGTTGGACTCTTGAACACTTCTTAACCTGTCCCCCCGCCCTTTATAAAGTCACTTTACTGCCCATCATACGTCACTTTACTTCACTGTACTGCTGTCACCTTACATTGTGTGCACCATGTGCACTTGTATATTGTAAATAGTAACTGTAACTCTATTTTAAATTTAAATTTATTCTTTAGAAGTGTTTTTTATTCTTATTTTTATTATCTCTTTTTGACTGTTGCACTGAGCCAAAGCAATTTCCAAGTCTGTGACCTCCTGTTACTTACGTGGCAATAAAAATGATTCTGATTCTGATTCTGATGAGAAATGACTGTTTGAATTTGTGTTTTTATCGTAGACTTTGCTTCTCTGAGCTAGTACAAAATGTGACGGGAGAAAGCTTTGGTCTTTCAATGTCACCTTGTTCAGCAGAGACAAAACAAAGTTATTCCTTCAGCCGGAGGGGCCGATGGCACTTACTGGTTGCCTCGCTTCTGTCAGTGTGCCTTAGGGCCGCTGTGGCTACAGTAGTAGTTTATCACCACCGTGTATGGAGTGAATGAATAATGACATGTGTAGCATATTTGAGTGTCCAAAAAAGCGCTACGTAAAACCAATGCATTATTATTATTAAAACAGCCCCGTGTGTGCACTTGTAATGTATAGAATGGATTGTTTGCACCTTGAGCCGAAACGTATTTCTCGTTGGTGACTTCCCGTTATTTACAATGACAATACGAATAATTCGGATTCGGATTCTGGCTAAAATAGATTTGGTAATTGGGCAAACAGGACATTTCAAGCACTGGTCCAATTAGTCTGTATTTGTCAATTACTTGTCTCATTGGATAATAAATTTTTATATACATTTCAAGCCATTTTGAACATGTTTTGTATATATTTTTGCTGTTAAGACGGAGAGAATGTCAATTGTGTTCAAGTGGAGACATAATAATCGTTTATCCGGCCCTTTGACCATGGCCCCCAAAATATCCGCCCCTTGAGAAAATCTTCCATTCTGCTCCTGGGTAAGAGCCTTAGGGCTTTCACTGCACATATAGGAGTATGAATAAATAAAACATTTCTGGAGTAGGATTAAACTTTACTTCAACTCCTGTTTGTTTGTTTGAATCTAAGGTCTGTCTCCTCCTAAAGCTGTTTGTTGCGGACGCCTTGACTGGTCAGAAATGTTTCAAATAATTTGATGAAATTAAATTATCTGACATTTGATGAAAACAAGAATGACTTTGCGAGAATGCTCAGAAGGTTCACGAAAGAGACAACAGACAACAAACTTGTTTCATCATAGATGTTCTAGCTCGTCTGGTGAAACATAAAAGTGGCATTATCTTTTTAATGGACCAAAGTAATACATCATATTTATCATTTAATGGGCAATAAGACACCTACACATTTCAACTAGGGCTGGAACTCGATTAAAAATATTGATCTAATTAATTTGAGGCTTTGTGATTAATTAATCGGAATTAATTGAATTTTAATAGCATTAAAATATTTGTCCTGAGAACAGTAAGAAGTAATTTTTTTCCACATGGATTTTTAGTTTACCATTGAATAATGACTGAATACATAAGCAACACATTTTCATTGAGGATGATAAGGTGAGCAAACAAACTTCTTTCCATCAAATAACTTATCTGTTATCGCCTCCACACACTCTGACAACAACAGACGCTTTTTATAACCAAAATCCACTGCACTAACGGTGAGCACTAGGGCTTTGACTTCAAAATCCGATATTCGAATATAATTCGAATATTTAAAAAAATATATATATTCAAACGAATATTAGACAGCCCTTAATATTCTAAATGTATTTAATGACTACAAATAAAATAAAATAAATAGCTCCCAAAGGCTAGGCCATGGATCTATTGTGCTAGGCGGATAACAGCTAAGCTAGCTAGTTCAAAAACTCTCTGGAACTACATGAAAACTGAACAAATAATTCTGACCATCAGCGGTGAGTTACCCATTTATATACCCAACCTATATCCATAATCAGATCCTCTTCAAATGTGTCCTAAAATGTCCGTTTCATGTGAATGGTTACTTCGGGCTAGCCTGTCTGTACGGACCAGTGGGGGCGGGTCCAGCTCAAAAGTGGCCAAAATGACGTGCGCTGACATGCTTGCAATACCACCCCGGGCCGATGGGGGTGGACCCAGAAGAAGAATTAGCCAATGCTAACATATAGCATTGGCAGACCTCTCAAAAACGTCTTTACAGGTTGGTCCAAAAGTTGGCTCTTGGCCCAAAGCTCCTTTCCACATGTGTGTCAATGCTGAGGGGGTGGAATTTTTTTGGTCCACTCTAGTTTACTTGCTGTGAATTTTTGAAGTCTCTCGTTCTAATGAATGGAGCTGCGCCGCTGACGCATGCGCAGATGCGTTTTTTCACAATTTTTTTGTGGGCGGGACCACTCGCGACCATTTTGGATTGCTCCAGTAGAGCATATTTTTTGGCCCATTAGTTAGAACGGCGGAGATAGGCGTGACTCTGTCCGTTAATATATACAGTCTATGGTACAGACAAAAGTATTGACAGGCGCCTGCTGAAAGCCCGTTGTACTCGCTGAATAATGTTAGGAGCCGTTTCGTAAATTATAATTCAATATTCGAATATATTCAAATGTTTAAACTATTAAACAAACGAACTTCGAATATGATTTTTGTACAAAATTCAAAGCCCTAGTGAGCACTAACGCTTATAATACGTTTTTGATGTGTACATTCGAACTAAAACATCAGCAATAGCAGCTCACACACCTGTGTCGCTGCTCCTCCTTTGCATCCTCCTCCTTCTCCGAGGTGTCGCTTGCTGCTCCTTCTCCTCACACAGTGAGTCCATAGCTCCATACACAGCGCTCTTTCCCATCTCTAACTCACTCATTCACTACTCAGACTGCAAACAATTGCCACAATGTACTGCAAAAAATCTACAAACTGTTAAATAACTTGAAAGAAAGAAATAGTACAAAGTGTAGAGTTGAAAATGTATTATTGGTCAAAAGTTCTGCTACATTATACGAATAGAAGTTTTAAAAATCACAAATGTGGTTTCCTGAAAGTCAAAGTGAACATATGACAATTTTGATGTTGGAAGTGGGAAACTTGCACAAAAACAACCGTTTTTTGCACCAGTGAAACCCAGATGTCCTGTTCAAAAGAGAGAAAACTTAAAGGCAAAACAAGTCATTTGTGACTTGTTTTGCCTTTAAGTTTTGTAATATGAAGAGCTCTGAAAAGTCAGTCGCTAGATTCTCAGTTCTACTGTTGTGTCCTTGGGCAAGACACTTCTCCCACCTTATTAATGTGTTGGTGTGACGGTGTGAATGGTGCGTGTGAATGTGGCTTTGGGCAGAGAAAGCAGCCGAAAACAGGACCATTGCAACAGCCCTTTGAGAAGGATGTTTTGATACGGCTTAGGTCAAAATAATGCAACAGTCATGAAGCAATTTGTGGAGAAGGGGCCAACATTTTTATATTCACTCTCATTTTTACTGAAATTTAAATATAGATATTTGTTGTTGTTGTTGCACAAAACATTGTGTATAGTATTATGAATATTATGTATTATGTATTATGAATGTTCCCATTTGGGATTATATGTTAAACTTGTATGACTGTTCAATTTGAAAACTAGTAACTCACTGAAAATGTGAACATCCAAAATTGTTTGTTTTATATGATTTTTCATTTTGTTGTTGTTGTAGCTTTTCTGTTTTTGTTTTGTTTACACATTTCTTTCAGTATTTAAATTTAGTAAAATATTAATGTTGCAATTTTGAAAATATTGAAAGAATACTTACAATGAAATGAGACAGAAACTCTCAGCTTATCATAATAATTGAGTAACCGTGGGTAACCTTTACCATGGGTAACCTTGAATAACCGTGTGTAACCTTGAATAACTGGGGGCAACCTCGAGTCACCGTGGGAACCTTTGAGTAACCATGGATAACCGTGGGTAACCATATGTAACCATGCGTATCATTGAGTAACCGCGGGTAACCATGGGTAACTTTTAGTAATTGTGGATCCTTTGAGTAAACATGGGTAACCTTGATTAACCGTGGTAACCTGAGTAACCATGAGTGACTTGGAGTAACCTTGGATAACCGTGGGTAACCGTGAGTAACCATATACTGTATAACCGTGGACAACCTTGAGTAACCATGGATAACCTCGAGTAACCGTGGGTATCCTTAAGTAACCGGTGGTAACCATTGGTAACTATGGATAATCTTGATTAACCGTGGGTCACTTTGAGTAATCACGGGTAACCGTGAATAACCAAGGGTAACCATGAGTAACCGTGAGTAACCATGGGTAACCATGTGTAATGGTGGGTACCCATGAGTAACCGTGGCTGTGCTGTGCTCCTCAGGGCTTCTTCAGGCGCAGCATCCAGAAGAACATGGTGTACACGTGTCACCGCGACAAGAACTGCATCATCAACAAAGTGACGAGGAACCGCTGCCAGTACTGCCGCCTACAGAAGTGCTTCGGCGTGGGCATGTCCAAGGAGTGTGAGTCTGCTACTCTGCCATGTGTACCATAGAGCCCCACCCTATGTACAGTACCATAGAGTCTTGTCTGTCTGTACCATTGAGGAGACAATCCAGTAAAAGAGCATATGAGATGAGAATACGGATATTAAAGTATATTATGTATGTATAATGGATTCAAAGATGGTCAGGATGAGCAGACACTCCCATCTTGTGGTACAAATGGGGAACAACATTCTGCTTTTATACATTTGCGAGGGCTGTGTTTAAAAAAAATTGACGCGATAATTATTCCCCCCCCCACTCCCCCTCTGAGAGTTGTGTGCGTGTGTTGTTGTCCCATGCATGCAAGCTGTGTGTTATGTGCGAATTGTGTGTCACTGGGGTACCACTATAAACAAGTACAAGTGGTCTGTGGAGTGAGAGGACAAACGCTCACAACAATTGTTAAGCGTTTTGTGACTCTGTGAAAGGCGCTTGATCAGATTTTTAAAAATACTTCCTTCTTCTCTATTTCTGCGGGTCACAAAGCTGCGATCTCCCTACCCACATGCATACCTCCTTGCTTCTTCGCCTGATCCCTAGTTATCCCAGGTGCCCCGCACAGATATAGTGTGTGCCCGCTTCCTGTATTTGATCTGTTGTTGGCCAATCAACGACTTTGTAAAGTTGAATAGAGTTGAACTACGTTATAATACAGTACATGACATAACCTCTTAAAATCATCTGGTTCACACTTAGATTATGATCGGCAGAAGGGGAAATTGTGGAAATTGTGGAGCACCTTCTGCATTGTCACCTTTTTATTTATCTTTTGCTTCCGAAATGTTCTTCCATTCTAAAAAATTAAATGTCAATGCACAAGAATGAGTTAGATTGAAACACCAGATCCTTCCGTACACTTCCTCTGTGTTAAAAATGAGGTTGCTTGGTCTATTTCGAGTTTGTTTTGCTCTGTTGCTTCGCTTACTGTACACGCCGACCTGTTTCCAATAATAGTGAATGAGCAAAGAAGGGAGATGAATGCAAATGAGTGTCAGCGAGGAAGCGAGGGGTGAGGCAGAGACACACAGACAGATAAAGCAACTACACTAGTAGACACACTGCAATAGGCAGGCATGTCAAACTCGGGCTCGTGGGCCAAATTCGGGCCGCAAGACTAGTGGCCCACAATTATTTTCAAATATTATTATTAACTTATGGGCTACCAAGGCATGTATTTCTCCTGTATTTCTCATGAACCCTGTGCTTATCCCCAATTGATGCTGGTCCAAATGTTCCCGATTTGTTTTTATCTCTGACCTTTTATTTATACAATCATTAAATCATATTATTTTGGCATTTCTGCATTTTGGGACATATCCCTTGTGACCTCAGCGCTTCTAGATTACATTTGGTTTTGCTCATAGACACGACAATGTCCAGTTCAGACAATAGTAGAAGTGTGTGAGAGTGTGTACAGTAGTGTGTATGAGTGTGTGTTTGAGTGCGTGTTTGATTGTGTGCACTCGTGACCGCGGCTCCTCGGTGACACAGACCATTCTATGAAGTGTTTGGAGGGCAGGCATCAGTGTAGAACTCATCAGCCGCACTCCAGGGGGCTCCACTCACACCAGTGCTGTCAAAAACTACTACTAGCACTAAAAGCAGTGTTCCAGAGCGCCCACCTGTGCCATAACCGCAGGCACAATCGACAATCGCCAATAAGACGTGAAATGGAACTGCTCATAATGTGGCCGCAGCAGCAAGGATATTCATTCTACAAAATAAAAATGGATACATTTACACACAACCTGCATCCAATACATAGACTGTATATATGAATGGACAGAGTCACGCCTATCTCTGCCGTTCTAACTAATGGGCCAAAAAATGTGCTCTACTGGAGCTATCCAAAATGGCCGCGAGTGGTCCCGCCCACAAGAAAATTGTGAAAAAACGCATCTGTATCTATCTGTATGCGTCAGCCGATACAGAATTCTAACTTCGATTTCACCTCAATAATTAATTTGGTTTTAAGAATTGAGTGGTATTCATAATTGTTATCTAAGATTTTGCCTCTTAAGTTAAAATCACTACTGGACTCAGACTTACATTTTAATAGCCACATCAAATCAGCAACATCAGCAGTTCTTTACCAACCCTACTAACCCTAAAAAACATTGCCAGTATCAAACATTTTTCAATCTTGTATTGTTCAGCACTTTCAGTTGCTTTGCATGAATTGTACAAATAAACTTGAGGAAAGAAGCATTGATGATAAGAGTTTTTTATGTTTAATATACTGTATCTATCATCACCTGATCCCCATGTTAGCAACAGGCTATAAAAAGTTTGATTTTATTGCTGCCTAAATTCTTGCTATATATGGTCCTATCATTCACACTGAGCATGCCTCGAAAAAAAGACTAGGTCACGAGGCGGGTTAAAGTTGTTATTACACGTCAACCAGTGTCACTAATGGTGCTTTCAGACCGCCAACGCTGAAACGCACGTTCTCTAGTTTTCAGACGCAGGGGTCTTCAGACCAGAGGTCCTGGGGCGCGCCCTGCAAGTGCCAGAAGTAACCGGCGGGCTCTGATGCTAACAGAATTTAGCTAGCGGCTTCTTGTGTACAGATCTTCTCCAATATGCAGCTTTGCAGTGTGTCTGTGTTCAGAGACCTTCCACAGACTTTATATAACAGTAGTATGTGTTCACGGAAGTGCGCAATAAGTTTATTTTATTATTAAACGGTACTTCCGCATCGGCGAACACACTCGAAGCAGTTGCATAAAGTCACGGGAGCATGACAACTCACATGTTAATAAGCACCATGTCGCCCATTGTCAACCCTGGTTTAACCTGGTGTAGCTCCTGTTTTGGCTGTTTACGAGTATTTTCAGTCCGCTCACTCAGACCACTAATGTCCCCGTGACCACTTTGCGGCTCTCTGATTGGTTGCTGCACGAGCATCCCGAGGAAAAGTTCAGCAAAAATCATCTCCTGCGTGCGCAGTCCATGCGTGCATTCCGAGACTCTCATGCATTTTGATGCTCGAACTCGCGTCACCATTGACTTTGCATTGAAAGCCGACGCAACGCATGATCTGGTCTGAACGCGGCATTAGAGTATAAGGAAGAAGTAAGCCGGGATTTTAGATCAGTGGGAATGAGACGTTAGTCCGGGAATCTGCAAAAAAGGATCAGATACAGAAAAGATAAAATACACTTTTTTGTCCCAAGGGAAAATTTCTGTAGGATACAGTGCTACACAGATCTGTCTGCATGAATGAATAAAAACAAAATGGAAAATGTTATGTCCAACTCTCTCTAACTCTTCCAAACACCCAACTGTCAAGTCAGAGGGGTGTATGTACAAGTTTGACATAGGAGCATTTACACAGAAAGGGTGAAGGGATATGTTTCTGTGGATTAGTTGCAGAAGTTCCTTGATATTTCCCTGGGCGCAGCTCAATCCAACTCCTGTTCTGTTTTTTTTGATGAAGGAACAATATTTTGACATGGTTTAAAGCTCAATGAAGACACAAGCACAACACACACACACACACACATACGACAAGACAAAGGCAAACACCTCTCGCCCACCACGACTTGTGTGTTTATTGACGCTGTCCTCAGTGCCAGGTCACAGTGGAAGAGAAGGTGTGAAAACATCTCGTGTGGTCATGTGCTCCTCTCACACACAACACTGAGCTCTTTGTTCAGTGCAGGTCACTGCAGAAGACGACAGATGGAAGAGGCCGATAAGAGGCCGGTGGTGTCACAAGACAAACAAACTGTATAGCTGCAATATCGTCTCATTAGCTCAGTTCAGCTCAGTTCAGCTCAATAATTCTTCAAGTGCTTTGTGATCCTGGTCTGTGAAAGGCACTACACAACTAAACTTTGCTTTCTTAGTAAGTAAAAGGTTTAGTAAGCAAAGTCTACTTACTTACTGTAAGTAAGTACTGTTCCCTCCTTAAAAGACTATGATTTGATACTGGCATGTCAAAATCAGGCCTGTGGTCCAAATTCAGCCTGCAAGACCATGTGGCCCCTGTAATGATTTTAAATTTTCATTATCATTATCACAGTAACTTGCAGCATTGATGGTGATGTTCTATTTGGCATGTTAAACTTAATTTTAACATTTTAAAGCCTACTATCTCAGAAAAAACAAGTATATAATTGAATATGTTCTAAAACTATAATGTAATTAGAAGTTATAGCTATAGTTTTTATATTTTTCAATCAATCTTACAATAGACCTCCTCTTGATATTTGACCCAGTTCTGATTGAATCCAATCCAATAGAAAATAATATCCAAACTCATGTCAAATGCAATACATTTGTCAAAAGACAAAAATATGAAGAAATTAAAATTATACAACTTCTATACTTTTAGCCCCTTCCACCTCGTATGTTTTCAATGTTGGCCTCCAACCAAAATGAGTTTGCCACCGCTGCTTTAATAGATCTATGTATTACTAAACTATAGCACACATGGATTATTATGGAATGAATGAATGATACCTTTATTGGTCCCACAATGAGGAAATTATTATTGAAAGAGGTTAATTGACTAATTTTTTAAGGGATCAGATTTACAAACCGGTCATATTATTCATATCGCAGGATCGAAAGAATGGAGCAGGGGCCTTCGCATTTATTGTTTTTTATTTGTTTTTTAATGGGTTAGGACAGCTAGTGCATGTTAAAAGAACACACCTCACCAGATTGTAGCCTTGGGATAATTTGCATCTATTGTCCCACAGTCGCACTCACAAACACACACTTATTCACCCTGAACTACTGCGCATGTTTTTAGTGGTAGAGGCACCTGAAGAAAAAAAAAACACAGGGAGAACATGAAAACTCTACTCAGAAAGACCTGGAGGTGGAATCCAACCCAGGACCTTCTTGCTGTGAATGTTATTGGACCATTACCGTGAATGGACCATGTCATTGGTCCTTCTGATCTGATTTTTCTGATCGATCGGCCCACCTCCATTTTTAACATTTTAATGTTCATTTCTTGA